GGGGGGCGAGACCGGGAACGCGCATTGATGAAAAAAGTAAAAGAAAAATCGAAAGAAAAAAATTAGGAGTGTGGTCTTTTTGCCTCCTGCTTCCTCGTTCCTGATGCGAATATTAAACGAAGAGTGAGAATTAAACATCTCTGCGCCTGAAACGTGGATTGGAACTTCACGAATGACGAATTATTTCCGAATAGTTGGGTAATTGTGCTACTTAATTAAGTGATTACAGTGCGACGCAATAACCACAAGACGCGTGCTGCAGATTTCAATAATGAGCGCAACCAGGGCATGGGATAGGTATGGAGGTCGAAACTGATTCGATTATCGCGAGTGGAAATTAAAACAAAAACAGGACTGTGGAATAAGCATGTAAGACAAAGCGAGAAAGTCATTATAAATACAGAGTTTTCGTTCTCAGTGCGGGGCCAAAGTAGGGCTTTTCCGCGTTTGAGAATGAAGGGTGAAAGAGGGGGAGAAGAGGGAGGAGGGCGGGGGACTGAAGGGCTCCGTCGAGCCAGACGGCCTTCAATATTCGAGTCCGGGTCGCACAGTAACCGGGAGAGGCCATCCATCCCCCCCACCACATGGGTCACGATATAAAGACACACTGCTAGAAAAAAATATACGCAGTAAGATGAATGCGCACTATGTTACAGCAACGCAGTACAAATATTTCTGGGTGGTGGGATTTGTTTTGCTGCTAGTTTGTTCCATGGTTGTTCCTCTACTTCGGTTTACTGGTGTAAATTCCCAATGGGAGACCGAAAAGTGGTCGTAGATTTTACCGTTGCCCGTTATTATTGCCGCCAGAAAGAGAACGATACAGAGAGGGAGACACGATCACTCGCTCCTTTGCGCTCTACGCCACTGCCGGGGAGAGACACAGACACTTTCACACCTCGGGGCCAGGAGGCCTGGCCAGGAGGCCTGGCCAGCTCCCCGTGACTCGGCACGTCTGGCGCACAAAGACCCTCTCTGGGCCGCCGGGGACAGCGGCTGCTGCTGCTGCTGGACCGTCCGGCTAAAGTCCGGCCGGCTGGAGAGAGAAGGGAGTGGGAGAGAGATCGCTGCGTCGTATGGAGGTGAGAGAATTCGAGAGGCACGGCCACCAAGGGGGGCGGAGGTCCCCCGTGCACGCTCTGTAAACTTAACTGTACAATGTTACGCGGCAGTCGTAACAGCAAACTTAAGTTGTATAATTTAAACCTAAATATAAAGGTTAAAGGTTAGGCAGTTTAAAATGACAAACAAGTTTCATAGAGAAATAAGAATTTCAGAATTAGTTTACAACGGAACTTAATTACTACCGAGTTTTTTAAAACAGTTCATAATTTTTCTCTCTTAGGAATAGTTGAAACTTGATCGGGCCGCCGTGGTGCAGGAGCAGGAGGCAGAACCGTGACAGTGCTGAGCAGCCTGAGCTTCCACGCGCTCGGTGCGACAACCGTATGCACACACCTGTATACCTCTCTGTATCAGAGCCGAGTAGCGCACTGGCTGGCTGGTCAGCATCCACGGGAGATATAAACGCGCCCCACGCCACGCCCTGATATGACCGGCCCGGGTGGACAGCGAGAGGGGCGTTGGCTCCACCGCGTTACCTTGTGAAACACACACTCACTCACACACGGCGCACTGTGCTGTCGCCTTTACGCATACCGTGGCGTAGCGTACGGCAGAAGGAATTTCATCACTCGCACGGAACACGGGGAAGGGGGAGGGGAGGGGAATGTCGCCGATGCAGGGTAGAACAACACAAACACAATATCCTTCGCGGGGCGGGGAGGCCATCTTTGTTAACATAGTGATCGTATAATTTAATTTTATGTTTGAGAAAATTCCTTCTACTCAAACGTATGGGATAATTATTAAAAGCAATATAGCTGCTGCATCCTGCTGACCTCTCTGATGCTCATGGTCATCCCCGAGGACAAGCCGACGGGAGCGACGCACTTTCGGTCGGTTCGGCCCGAATGTGTGAGCGGGGTGCTCCGAGGGGTCAGTAAGAAGCAGGCCTGCACGCATACTAGCAAAATTACTATTCAATACTCAATGAACAAACGGTTCATCAAATTGGAAGCAAGCTACCTTTTTAGACACAACTGATATTGGCTGCTAATCCCGAGGTGAGAAAAAAATTTCTTTGTAATGCCAACCATGTATTTGCGTTAGCGAAGAAACCGGAATATTCACCAGGCATTTGCCGGGTTCTGAAACCTCACTACTCGTATCATAACGCACTCCCTGCCGCCTGCATAAATCAGCATAGGCAAACATCCGCCTGATGCGTAGGCAGCAGCCGCACCGCAGCGCTGAGGTGTGTACGGGTTGCCTAACCGCCAGGCGTTCCGACTCCGAACGCCTGCAGACTGCAGCATAGGCAACCATCCGCCTGCAGAATACACCAGCAGCTGTCCCGCAGAGCAGGAGTGCGTTCGGGTTGCCTACCCACCAGGCGCTCAGACTCGCTGAGGCTCCGTTGGCGACGGCGCAGGCTCTCCTCACTCCCTCTGCTCGCTCGCTCTCTGTTTATCTATCTCTCACTCCCTTCTTGTGGCTCAATACTATCAGAGTAAATTCCAGACCAACAATAAATTTAAAAACAAGACTCCGCCGCAAACGAGACTTTCCAGCCCGCGCCCGCTCTGTGCCTGTCGGGACGGTTTCATACAGGTTCTCTGTTGACGGTGCGGGCTGGCAGGCTCCGCAGCCCGAGCAGCTCCACGGGCTCCAGCCTCCACGCTACAGGGGCAGGTTCCAGGCACCGCAGGTGCAGGCTCCAGGTGAGATGGTCACCAGGCTCCATGCCGCAGGCGCAGTCTTCAGGTTCCAGGGCTCCACGCCGCAGGCACGGGCTCCAGGCTGCCGCCGCGCCGGGGCTTTTCCCGTCCGCTCGCCTGCGCGGCTGCCAGCGAGCGTGCCCGGCCGCAGTGTTTTGATGCCTGCCAGCTCCGTCTGGCCGCAGATTGCCCGCTCCAGCAGCGGTTCGCCACCCGGCAGCCAGGACCTGTGGCGCGGGCTGTGCGCGGCATGGTGGAGGTGGTGGAGGTGGTGGTGGTGGTGGTGGCGGTGGTGGGGCAGCGGGGCGGC